CGTCTCGTTGAGAGGATTCCAGTGGTACCCTCGGATTTTTCATAGCCCTTCCGGATCGTCGGGAAAACGCATTTGAATGCTCGATTTTGACCAAAATTTTGTTAGATCTGGAAACTTTGACCGCAAAATTGACGGCCTTCCCGGAGGAATTTTTGCATGAAATTTTATGGGGAGATTCACCTCGAAGAGATCTTTCCAATGATGTAAGCGATTCTCCGATTGGAGAATATTTTCCGGCGGCCGGCGGCAGAGGTGGTGGCCGGCGGTGGCGGCGGCCGGTGGAGAAGAAGGAGGTTTTTCAATTTTTTCAGCCGGAACTCCGCTGGACTTTTTTTTCGGGTCCCCACAGACGGCGCCAATGAAGTGAATATAATTCACCTGGGCTCCTTCAACTCGAACCGGCCTCCGTACCTGCAGAACCCAACGCCGGGGGTGGCCCCGGCGTCGGGCCTCCGATGCTTAAGTCAGTGCTCAGATCAAGAGAGAGAGTGTATTAATGTAATGAGGAGAGGATGAGAGAATGAGGTACCTTGGCCCCCTTTTATAGGGGAAGTGTACCTTTTGGGCCCAAGTTGGGCTTAGATGTCTTAGTGGGCTTATCTTCCAATATGTATCCACTTTATCCATCAAATCGGGTCCAGTATAATATCCTATATCAGTAATGTCATTGTATAATCTCTTCTATTTTGTGTTGTGCTTAAAGCCACCAAATACAACAATAAATTCAACCGAATAATAAGCACCAAGTCCAATCAACAACAACAATAACCACAAGCAATAGCAACTAAACGATGATCAAGCAAGCAATAAAATGACACGAGATCTTTAGCGTGGAAAACCCCAAATTGGGTAAAAACCACGGGACCAGTAGGCCGCTTAAATCATCCACTATATCAATCCGATAATGGGCATACTGAAATCCTCTCTAGTTCACCAAACTAGAGGCTAACAACAATCATCAAGATCACAACACAATACTTGGCAAACAACAAGAAACAAATCAACAAAAATACAAAACCTGCCCCTTCACGTCACACACAAATCAGACAGTCCAAACATTCTCCACATCCGATCTCCACCGTTCAAAACGAAGAGTAATAAGTCATGAACCTTCTGACAATATTTGGTGACGATCCAACGGTGCAATCGCCGGGAATCGACTATTTTCTGTGGCTGCGCAGTGCAGTTGCGGGAATGAAAAAGAGGAGTAGGTTTGAATTTGTTTCTATGCTCTTCTCTTTTATGTCTGCGCACGACATAGGTTATAAAAGAACTTTTTTTTTTTCTTTTATGAAAATATAATGGGCCTTTGGCCCTTATTTAGTCCAAGCCTACAATTGGGCTGGACTCAACAAACTCCCCCTCGGATCAAGTGGTGGGCTCCAACAAGCCCGCTCTTTGTCGACATGCTTCAAGCTTATCTTTCGGCAGAGTCTTCGTCATCATGTCGACACCATTCTCACTCGTGTGCACTTTCGCTAAGTGCAATTGTTTTGATTCGAGAATAGTTCGAATCCAGTGATACCTCACTTCAATGTGCTTGGACCTCGAATGAAATCATGAGTTCTTTGAGAGGTGGATAGCGCTTTGGCTATCACTGAACACAACATACTTCTCCTGGTGTAAGCCCAATTCCTCTAGGAATCTTCTCATCTACAAAGCCTCTTTGCAATCTTCTGTAATTGCAATGTACTCGGCTTCTGTGGTAGACAACGCAACACACTTTTGCAGCTTAGACTGACATGACACGCCCCCCCTGCAAAAGTCATCAGAAATCCTCAAATGGACTTTCAGGAATCAACATCACCTGCCATATCTGAATCGGTATACCAACTAGCATAGGATCACCACCAACGAAGCATAAACATGCTCTTGAGGTACCTCTGAGATATCTTAATATCCATTTGACGGCTTCCCAATGTTCTCTTCCAGGATTGGAGAGAAAACGACTGATTACTTCAACAGAATGAGCAATATCGTGCCTAGTGAACACCATGGCATACATCAAACTGCCAACCGCAGATGCATAAGAAACTCGACTCATGTCTGCCTTGTCATTTCACTTGTAGGGCATTGCTCCGAATTGAGCTTGAAGTGACCTGCAAGTGAAGAGCTCACCACCCTTGCCTTGCTCATGTTAAACTTCTCAAGTACCTTTTGGATGTAGTCTTTATGGGACAACCATAGCCTCCCATTTTTTTATCACGAGAGATCTTCATACCGAGTATCTTTTTCGCCGCTCCTAAGTCTTTCATCGCAAAAGACTTACTTAACTCTCTATTCAACTGGGAAATTTTGCTAGTATCATGACCTATAACTAACATATCGTCAACGTACAAGAGGAGAATAATAAAATCATCATCAGAATACCTCTTAACGAACACACAATGGTCTGACGATGTCCGGCCGTACCCGTGACTCACCATGAAGGAGTCGAATTTCTTGTACCACAGTCGCGGAGCTTGTTTAAGACCATACAAGCTCTTCTTCAATCTGCACACAAGGTGCTCTTTGCCTTTAACTTGGAATCTCTTGGGCTGCCCCATATAAATTTCTTCTTCCAAGTCGCCGTGAAGAAACGCAGTTTTCACATCAAGTTGCTCGATCTCCAGGTTCAACCGCGCCGCCAAACCAAGAGCAACTCGAATCGAGGACATCTTCACCACCGGTGAAAATATCTCTTCAAAGTTGATTCTCTTTTTCTGACCGTACCCATTCACAACCAATCCTGCCTTTAATCGTGGTTGCGAGCTAGCATTTTCGATCTTCAATCTATAGACCCGTCTGTTTTTAGCGCTTTCTTGCCTTTCTGTAACTTCACCAAGTAATAAGTGTGGTTTTCGTGAAGATACTGCATCTCTTCTTCCATGGCTTTCAGCCACTGCTTCTTCTCATCGTCTAAGGTCGCCTCTTGGTAAGTTTCTGGCTCTCCGGCATCGGTGATCATCACATACTCATTTGAGGAGTGTCTAGTAGACGGACGTTGTTCTCGACTGGATCTCTTCAAAATAGGTTCTTCTGGTGGTTCTTGAACTCCTTCTTCAACTTCATCAGTTGGCTCAACATCATCAACTGTAGGGACATCACCATTTGCATGACCAGTATCAATCTATGGTGTCGCTCCCCCTTGATCAGGATGCATAGTAGGTATATGGACTGGATCTAAATCAACCAGATCATCGATGTACTTCTCTGTCATCTCGGTTTTATCGATGTCTTTTATGCTCTGGTCTTCTACAAACACCGCATCTCGACTTCTTACAGGCTTTTTCTACATTGGGTCATAGAACCTGTATCCAAACTCATCAAGGCCATAACCGACGAAAACACATGGCCTTCATGTCGAGCTTCGACCTCTCATCTTTTGGAATATGAACAAAGGCCTTGCATCCTAAAACACGCAAGTGATCGTATGAAACTTTCTTTCCCAACCACATGCTCTTTAGAACCATGAAATTCAGTGGAACACATGGAGTAAGATTCAAAACATGCACCACTATACTCAAGGCTTCACCCCAGAAGAACCTCGGTAACTGTGATTGCGAAAGCAAACATCTCACCCTCTCAACTAGTGTCCGGTTCATCCTCTCAGCTAACCCATTCAACTGAGGAGTCTTTGGAGGTGTCTTTTGGTGTCGAATACCCTGCTACCTACAATACTCATCGAACGGGCAGCAGTATTCACCTCCATTATCTGTTCGGATGCACTTAAGCTTCACACCTGTTTCCCGTTCCACATGAGCATGAAACTGCTTGAAGACTTCTACAACTTGATATTTTGAATTCAACATATACACCCAAATCTTCCTTGAATGATAGTCAATGAAAGTCAAAAAGTACAAGGCACCGCCAAGGATACAAGTTGTACTCAGAAAAAACCGGTCATTTTACCGCCAAGGATACAAGTTGTACTCAGAAAAAACCGGTCATTTTACTGTTGAGTCATTGTTGGATATTAAACTAAATCCTATGTGGGTCCCACATGAAGATATCACCCATAAATTGTCGGCAACCACTTTTTCAAATTGGAATAAATATACAGCTGTAGACTCATTTATTCAAAAGGAACTGACAACGGAATCATATCAATACTCCCTCGATTCAACCCACATAATCAAACAAATTTCTCCTTCATTTTAAAGACCTGTAGAAATGGGTTTTCCTTCACAAAGTAATTCTTCAGCACACACCCGAAATGGTTTTGAACCGGTGATGACCGAGGAAGTTCACGCCAATAACCCTTCCTCCACTGAACCTTACGACACACTCCGGTTGGGATCTGAACTTGACACCGCCAGGGGGGATTTGGGGCTGGATCTGCGAGGCAAGAAGGACACAACGGAGCCAGTACACCGCCGCATCCATTGGCCGAAGTACCTGGAGCCGGTGTTGGAGAGAATACGGAAAGCACGGGTAGCGTCTCTGTGAATTTTCCTGAGAAAAAGAAGAATAAAAATGGTAAAGTTTATTATTTTCTTGGAAATTATAAAACAAGGTGTTAACTTTATGCTTGGGTTGGGTTCATTATGAGAAATTAAAGAAAGAAGGGGTTCATTATGCTTTGTTGGGTTCATTCGGAAGACGCATTTTCAGTTTGAAATAAAAAATTGATGAATATGAATTTATTGTTCTTTGTTATTCTTGGAAATTTATTGCATTTTTGTGTTTCTGATTCTTGTTGCTGCATCAAGATGAAAAGAAAGAAATTTTGTATGTGTTTTTTTTCCTGTCTTGAGTATGCTAAATTTCAACTGAGGGAAAAAAAAAACTTTGTTTTGTTTTGTTATAATCTTTTTGTGTATGTTTTTTCTTCTGTATGTGATTCTTCTTCTGTATGCGTTTTTTTTTTTTTTAATGTTGCACGTCGATTTTTTCTTACAGGTTTTCGCTGCCACACGGAGCTAAACACAAATAAATTGAATCAATATTAATCATTGGAACACACTTTGAGTTTGCTGGAAATTGTAGATGTCTTTCAATAATGAAGATGAAACTTCGAAATGGAACCAAGGAGAAGCGAAATGGCCGCGGAAAATAAGAAATTCTTCGTGGACATTATGTTAGAAGAGGTTCTAGAAGGAAATTGTGTTGGTGGCAAATTCACACATCAACAGTGGGTGCAAATGACCGAAAAACTTAATACTACTTGCCCGAGGAAATATCAGTACAACATAAAGCAAGTGGAAAGTAAGTACAAACGTTTGAAAACGAATTGGACGCGATTTTACAACGTAAAGAATAATGCAATGGGGTTAGGTTGGGATTCTGTGCGCGGTGTCATCTATAGCGATGAAGATGCTTGGAAAAATTGGACCGATGTAAGTTCCTCTTCGGTTTAATTATAAAGGTTCATTTACACCGATATTGGATGACTGTTATCTTTTGTTTTATGTCCGTATGTCTGTTGGAGAAAAACATATTTTCGTATGATAATACACGATTTTGTGAATCTCCAAAAACATATTTTCGTATGATAATACACGATTTTGTGAATCGGTCGACCAGTGAAAAACTTATTGTCAGTTTGGTGTTCTTTTCAAATGATGAAACCAACTGCTCCTATTATTCTAGTGTTGTTATGAAATAAGTAGTTTTAACATAGAAATTAACATGAATGGTTTATGAAATAAGCAGTTTTAACATAGAAATTAACATAAAATTAGGTTTCTGTCTAACATGTGTAATTTGCTAATTAAAGAATGTTAAAGAAGAAGTGCATTTCAAGACCCATAACTTTTTTTTTTTTACTTTTTTATTTTTTTACATTCAGTGTTGAAATAAATGATGGTTGTTTTATGAATACCAGAAAATAAAACACTTTTTGTGGAATTATAATAAGTGATGACAAAAGCCCTGCATGTAACCTTCACATTTATATAGGTTTATGATGTAGTAATAGAAGAGAAAAACACAATTTTCCCATGTTGCAGTTCATATTACATCAGGACCCATTTCACACTTTCATTCTCATATTTCTATTCTAAGTATGCATAATGAGGCACCTCTCAATAATTTCCTCTTAAATAATGTTTTTTGTTCATTGCTACTTTCTCATATGGTTCAATTTTGTTTAGGCAAGTTTGCGTGTCTTCTACAATTGTTGGCTATGATATTATGTCCTGAACTGTGCGTCAACATTGTCTTTTTTGCAGAGAAATGATCAGGATCGTGATCTTAAGAAGAAGTCTTGCTTACACTATGAAGAATTAACGACCATATTCTTTGGTTCGACCGCAACTGGCCGCTACGCACGGGCGTCGACTCAGCGAGGAGATGTATACGCAAGCATGGGAGGGCACAAAGAAAGTGGTAAGCGGAGTAAGGCGGTACACAATGATGGAGAAGACGAGGAAATGATGACACCACCGGCCTACGGAAGCAGTGGGAGGAAACGGAAGCAAAAGGAGTTCGTGTTGAACTCTATGAAGGAGTCCGTCAAAGACATAGTTACACACTAGCTAGCCTGAAGAAGGAACAACCAGACCAAAAGGAGCAGAAGGAGGCCCTTCTTCTACTTGATGCTATGGAGCTTCCCGACCATGTCTACAAGGCCGATTTGAAGACGCTGCGTGACGCGATGGCCAATCATATGTTTCTTAATGTGGCGAACGACCAGAAACGACACTTGCTTTTGGAGGTTTGGGTTGAGGAAGATTCTAGAAACCGTTGACGGCTATTCGGTGTTTGTGATTTGATTTTCCAAAACTTCTCACATGTTCATTAACTTGGTCCCCTGATTTAGGATGATGTCTTTTAGAACAATTGTGTGCTTGCTTGTTCACTATATTTACTTGGATTGCTATTATGTGCCTTTTATCATATTTTTTAAATTTTCAACTCTTAATTATAATGATTTGTAGGATGTCTTACGAAAATGACAATATTGAATACGACGACGTAGACGACATTATGGAAATGAATGAAATCTCAACAGGGGAATTCGAACCTTCAAGCGTCAAGTCTGATGAAGATATTGTCGAAGATATACATCTGCAAATACGACCGCAAAAAATAGCGCGCGTAATTAAATTAGACACAAAATTTGTGTCACATTTAAAAAAAAATAGTAGGCATCATGCAAAGGTCACCGTCGACATTCGCACTGCGCAAGAGAAGATCCTACTGCAAATCAAGCATTACAGGAATGCAATGGGTTAACGGGCTTCTGGAGGGGAACCCAAAAAGATTTCGCGGCGCTATGGGTGTAGATAAACAAGTTTTCCGCCGGCTATGTGGAGCAACGTAGAGGCGTTCATGGCTATCACAAGCAAAGAAAAGATTGCATTGAAGAAAGTGTGGGTATATTTTTGCACACAATAAAAGGTCATCAGCGACATAGGCATTCAGCTGAGTCTTTTAGAAGATCTACTTAGACTATTTCACGACATTGTCATATCTTTATTACCGCCCTTGCTGATATGGGACCAGACTACATTCTACCGCCAGACGTCAATCGGGTACCGGCCGGGATACGCAATAATGACAAATTGTATCCGTATTTCAAGGTGACAATGTTTTATTAGTCGTTTTTTATTCTTTCATTATTCTTGATTAAGCGTTAACACTCTTAATTATAATAAGACTGCACCAGTGCAATTGACGGCACCATAATCCCAGCATGGGTTCCACATGGTCATCAGGGGGCTTACAGATGCAGAAAAGGATACTTAGCCCAAAACGTTATGGTTGCTTGTGATTTCAACATGAAGTTCACTTTCGTGTTGGCTGGATGGGAAGGCAGCGCTAATGATGCCAGAATTTTCAAACCGACATTGTCGAATCCGAGATATCAATTCTCTTTTCCACCACTGGGTATGTCCGCCTTCTAAAAAATCTATTCTAAATCACACATACTCAACTTATTACATTCACTTTCTTTGTATTGTAAAACGACAAAAAATTTTGTAGGTAAATATTATGTCCTCGATTCTGGGTATTCAAACCATCCCCTTTTTTTGGCGCCATACCGCGGCGAGAGATATCATTTGCCAGAGTGGGTCGGTTCAAATAGGACCCCAAAAAATGCCCGTGAACTATTTAATAGACGGCATGCAAGTTACGCAATGTCGTCGAACAGACCTTTGGTATGCTTAAGAACAGGTTTCCTATTTTGAAGAATTTAATGTCGAGATACTCTCTTAAGTCGCAGACGGACATGGTTGTGGCTTGTTGTGTTTTACACAATTTTATCCTCACGCATCAAGAAAAGAATGCGACACCCGCACAGTTCTTTGAACCGGATTATGTTCCTCAACGTGATGCGAATGACATGTCGTTCTCGTTTATGGACAGAGTCGATCCTGCGACGGCGGGCGAAGAGGAGCAATGTACGCTACGTGAAAGAATTGCGACAGCTCTATGGGAGGATCATGTGAACGGCAATCGTTAGTTTTACATTGTTGAAATGTTTGTGGGGTCCTTCCCAATTTATTTTTCATTGCATTTGAAGTTCGTGTAACCTTTGTGAGACTTCTATTCATGAACCAAAATTTTACTTCAAAGGTAATACCCAAACACACACACACACACATAAATATTGTTTTTGACGTTACAAAAAACTTACAGAGTTTAAAATTATTAATTAAGTTGAACATTTCAAAATATAAATATTAATTTTTGAATGTGACATTATTCAAACCAAATATATACGAGTAATTTTTTTTTTTTTTTTT